TTGGGATTTAGGTTCAGACCTGCCCAGCTGCATGTCCTAGGCTGTGTCTCACACCTAGCTGGCAAGAGCAGGGACCCTGGGCCATTTCTAGGGGCACAGAAGCAGCTGTGTGGCCCTGGGTGGGAATGGATCTGCTGTTCTTCCTAGAGCGCTGAGAGAGCCAGCAGAAGTGAGTGCTGATGTTTCCAGTGGTATTTCTTTTGACTTTGGGAAAGATCAAGCTCCTGGTAGAGTTAAACTTGCATGTTGGGAGTGGGATTGAGCATCAGGGAAGATGGGGAGCAGTATGCATGCCATAGGCCCGGAGCCAGAAATAGTCTGTGCCCAGTTGGGTTGCAGTCCGGGTGGGAAATGAGGCTTGTTCTCCTCGTGTTACTGGTGTGGAGCAGAGAGATCCAGAGACTCAGCCCAGGTCTCAGGGGCCTTTTGTAGAGCCTGGACTTGAACCTTGATTTCCTGTGTCTTCCCATGGTTCCTGGACCATTCTCCCTTGCTCCACTGTTCAAGCTGTGCTGGTGGCTGCTCCCTTCTCTGCTGCTCCAGCCACAAAGCTCTTGGCTCAGCTGCATGGTGGAAGGGCCAGATTGCCCCACCCCCTTTGCCCCGTGAGATTCCCTCTGTCCTGGATGGGGTGGGTTGGTGCCTGATGTGGCTGGGAGGGCTCAGGGTCGCCCTGCCCTCCTCAGAAGGGTCGCTGAGGTCTCACGTGAGCTGAGCTCCCAGCCCTATATCCCACAAGTAGAGCAGCATGGGGAGACGACTGGGGATAGCAAGGAGAAGGGGTGGAAGAAACAGGCTGTGGCGAGTGGCTTTGCTCTGCGCCTGGTGGCCAGGTGTGTGTCTCTGTGTCTCCTCTCTCCTGCTGGTTTGCTAGGAAAGGCCTCTCTTCTCCTGGGACTGGATGAGCTCATTTGAGAGCCCAGCCAAGGGAGCAGACCCAGCAATGGGAGGCAGTGCTGAGCGACTCCAGCTGCCATGAGGCTGAGGAGGGGGGCAGCTACGCCAGTGCCCCTGCTGCAGTGGGGGTTGGGCGCTCTCCCCCATGGCAGGAAGGGATGCATATGGCAGGAAGGGATGCATAAGCCATGGCTGTAGAAGCCCCCCATGCTTTGAGGGAGTGGCTGAGGGAAGGACACAGGAATTGAATGCCCCAGCTCCGTCTTTCTGAAATCATTGGAGCTGTGCGGGGAATGCACCCTCCCCTGGGGAGTGTGTGTTGGGGGGAGAAGCTGGTGGGGGGGGTGTTATTTGCCCATGGCACCAGTCCCAGGTTTTTCCCTAGAGCCTTCTGTGTTCTCCTGGAGGCAGACAAGAATCAAGCTTCAGGCTTGGCCTCTGCAAAGCAAGAGAGTGGGACCTGTTTAAGCAGGGAGACAGGGAGGTCACGTGCACCCTGGGCTGGAGTGTATCGTGCCCATGCAGTTGCGGGGACACTGGGGTGTGCAGCCTGCTCTGGTTCCAGGTGGCTTTGCCTTTCCTAACCAAAGCCAGCCCATGAGCTCTGTCTTGTGCCACCCATTGCATGCACACTACCCTAGCATTGTCAACAGAACAGCTGAGCTACAGCTATGGGTAGAGACCCACTTCTGGGAGTCCCACTCACAGGCTTCAGAGCCCCACCTCTAGGCCACAAGCCATCCAAGCTGGAAGAGGGAGGGAGCTTTCTGAAAGATGCTTTCCACCAAGACGCACTGCCTGAGCCAAGTCAAAGGGTTTGTCTGGGACAGGTCAGCCCCTGCGGCATCTGCAGTGATAAGAGCCGGTCATGCTTCATACTGCCGTTGGTGTTGTGGCTTTTGCATCTGGTAGGTCTGGAGATCTCCACAATAATGAAACTGCCTCTTTCCCTTCCTGGCTGGACATTTTGAGATGTCCCTGGGGACAGGACTGGGCAGAGCAGTGGTGCTGGGTTTGGATGCTCTGGCTGCTGCAACAGAGGGTACTGATCTCCACTGAGGTGCCTTGTGATTCACAGTCAGTGTGGAAGGCCCTCACTGCACCTGGGAGCCCACCTTGGCATCTTCCGTAGCGTGTCATCCCAGCTGCAAGCACACGAAGGCTGGGATGAGATCAGAGGCCTGTTACCATGTATACATATATGTGCACACACACACATGCACAGCACCTGGCACGATGGGCCTGGGGCCTCTTGAGGATTCCTGTAATCCCAGCTGGTGGGAGGCCTCTGTCGGCAGTGTGTCGCCTGTGGTCTAGAGAGGGCCTGAGCTGTGCTTCGTGAGAACGCTGCTCTGTAGAGCCAGCTGTGCACAGCTGTCCTGGCAGACAGGAAAGGGTTCTCCTGTCAATGTTGGGGGTGGGGATGAGTCTGTTGAAGAGAGCAGGCCTTGCTCCTAGACCTGGTGCCACCTGGGCACCAGAGAGGGGGAGGGAGACCTCAGTGCTGTCCAAGGGGGTCCCTGCCTCTGCACAGAGTGGGTAGCAGCAGGGAGACCCCAACACCAACTTGTCTGGCCCAGGCAGCAGCTACCCTCCAAGAGCTTTGGGCATGGGAGAGTGTTTAGGACACTCTTACATGTGTGTCCGTGTCTCTGTAACCCAGGGCACACTCTGGTGTCCTTCCTGGGAGATGAGGGGAGCTGAGATAGGACCAAGCAGGTATTTGACTGCATTCCTAGGGGCACATGAGAGAATGACTGCAGTCCCTGAATTTGTGTATGTGCTTGTGGACAGTCCCTGTATTTGTATAGGTTTGTGATTTTTGTAGTATATTATCTTTGGGTGTATGTGTGTGCTTGTGTGTGTACTGTGCCTGTATGCACAGTCTGTGTGTGTGTGCACGTGCACATGCAGGAACCACTGTAGTGGGTACGGACAGTTTGTATGCATGTGTGCACACCATTTATAGACACAGCTCCTTGCATATGTGATTACAGGCTCTTCCCTGGGAGGCGTGTATACTCATGGTGGGTGCCCAAGAGGCTGTGTCATTGTCTCTCAGACCTTGCTGATGCCAGGTGACTGTTGGGGCACGTGTGTCCCCACAGTGGGAACTGGTCTCAGGTGGTGATGCTGTCTTGGGTGCCGCATCACTCTCCTTGGGGGCAGGATGGTGTTTCGCTTGTGAGGGCTTGTTTTGTTTTTAAAATCCTTGTTCAAGCTGGCTTTGTATGCCCTGCTGCATGTGCACACTGACACGCATGCCCCAGCACTTGTGCACAAACCCTGCCTTGAGGATTTGTCAAGCCTGGCACTTGTGCCTGTGGCAGTGGCTTGTCAGGCCCTGGAAGGGGCCACCCCATAGCTATGCCCCTCCTGTGAGACCATCCTATGAGTGACCTGAGGGCAGCCTCTCTTCTCCCCTGCTTGGTTTCAGAGCAAAGGCTTAGGAAGTGCCCCTCAGTGGCTCAGGGCATGGTGGGGAGAGCATGGCATTGGGGTACTGGCTGTGGTGCAAGGTGTAGAGAGGATGGGGAGGATGGGGGCAAGGCTCCTGCAGTACTGTTCAGACGTGCAGTGTGGCACTCCCAGGATGCACCATGTCTGCCTGAATCCCACATCTTATGTCTGTGGCCTGGAAATGTCAAGTCACGTCTTGCAGGCTCGCAAAGTGCCTCCCGCCCATTCTGCCACAACCCGGGGGCACTGCAGGATTCCCGAACAGCCCATGCCCCAGCCTTGGCTTCCTTGGGGGGTGGCTATGGGGAACCCCAAGATCAAGGGTCTGGCAGCTCAGGGCTCTGGTATCCGTTGCCAAGGGCTACACAAGGGTCTGAATGGCTCTCCTGCAGTCATGCCCTCATGGGCAGGTGGGAGGTGCCCACCAGGCAGGGATGCTTCCCTGGGTGATGCTGTGTGTGTTGTAGGCTCATAGCTCCCTTCTCTGGTCAGTTCACAGGGGGTCCTGCTCAGAAAGGAGCAGAAGGACTGAACCTCCCAGAGGCTGTGGCGTAGACTGCATCCTCAGGGCAGTGCCAGCCAGGTATGCTCCTACCCACGTGCAGGGAGCTATCTGTGGCCTGGACACTGCTTTCATGCTTACACCCACCTGATCCCGCCCCCCCCACTACCCCCCAGATACCCTTCATCTGCTCTGGTGGTGCCTGAAGCACAGGGGAAAGTGCTCTTGGTCTTGTAGAGAGCATTGTGTGGTACAGCAGAGAGGCACCTGGCAGCCTTGCAGCTGGCTCCACACTGAAGCAGCGCTGGTGTCCTAGCATTGGGGCTCATCGGGGGAGCGTGGCCAGCTGGGGCTGCCCCTTCAGAAATACTGCTGGCTGCCAGGATTCACCCAGTGCAGCCAGGAGTTTTGGATAGAAGCAGTTCCCTCCCCCAACAATGCTTCCTTCCTTCAGTGCCGGAAGGCACTGGGAGGACTTTTGTGACCCATGCCCCAGTGCCCTGCCTGCCTCTTGCATCATCCCTGATACATGCAGCACAGCCTGCTCTATCGCACGCTGGCTTCTCACCAGCGTCAACAGCTGTGCAAGGCATTGGGGTGGGGGGGCAGGTCATTATGAGTGCATGTTCTCGGTCTCAGCAGAGCTATGAGGGGGACGCCCAGCAGGGTGGGCATGGGGCTGTGTGGCAGCAGCACAGACACTGAGCATGAGTGCTTTGCAGGCTTGGCCTTCTCTTGTTGGCAGCAAGGCAGATGGGGCTTTCTCCAGACCTATCTCAGGCTGGGAGACCAGTGATTTTCCCCAGCTCTGATGCCCTGCTTCGCTGGGGCTGGGCTTAGCTGGGGGCATCTCCAGCATGGTGGAAGGAGGCAATGTGGAGTTCACGAGGCAGGGTGGGGCACAGGTCCACAACGGGCTGGGAGCAGAGGTGGGTGGCTGTAGCAGGCTGCTGTGCCCCCACTTCCATGTTCTTCAGATCTGTCCCCAAGGTCAGGGTGAGCCCTGTGGAACCCCCTGCTCCCAGGGGCTGCCTGGTGTTGGGCAGTGCCATGCTGAGCGGTCCATCCTCCCACAGGGGGGAATGCAGCAGACAGACCCTGAGCAAGCCCTGAGCCCTCTCCTTCTGTTCTCTCTCCCCAGCCATAGAGACGCAGAGCACCAGCTCTGAAGAGATCGTCCCCAGCCCCCCATCTCCACCCCCGCTGCCTCGGGTCTACAAGCCCTGCTTCGTGTGCCAGGACAAGTCCTCGGGCTACCACTATGGGGTGAGCGCCTGCGAAGGCTGCAAGGTGAGTGTGGCAGAAGGATTGCCCAGCGGCTGAGTCAGATGAGAGCACCTGAAGTCCTGGGCTCAGAGCTATGGCTCTGACACCAACAACCCCTCCTCATTGTCCCCCCTGTCCAGCTTTGGGGGAGTCATTTAACCTTGAGGCAGCTGCTAGCTTGGGTTCCTTGGGATGGGTTGGGAGGGGACAGCAACTCCCAGTGTGGCACCTGTGGGTACACCAGGGTTCTGCTTCCACACTTCAGGAGGGCGCTGCTTGTTTCCTTATGTGAACACTGGGGTCCTTATTACTAATCCACCCCCCAAGGAGCCAACAAGCACTTGTCTAGGTCTAGACAGCCCCTGTAATGGGTTGGAAGTGGATTTTTGGGGGGTCGTACCGGTGTCTGTAATGATCTCACCCTGATTCACAAACAGCTGCCCCCTCTCTCTGTGTGCCAGCCAGGCCTCCTCCTCTGTGGTGCCCATCTTTCCTGCCAGGCATAAAGGTCAGGAGCCCAACATTAGGCCACTCATGGCATGCGGTGCCCTACATCCGGCTGGTCAGCCCTGCTCCCTGGGTGTTCTGCTGTGGGCCCTGCCAACCCCAAAGTGGGCACAGTACCTGCTCAGCTGCTGTGGCTCCTGTCCACACTGTGGGCAGGATGTGGAGCTTTGCTTGTTGCAGTAACCTACAGAGTTTGGAGTGCTTTGCCAGGGTGTAGTCACGAGGTCTCAGGACCTCATGGAGGAGAGTTAGCATCTGTCCCTTTGGGCAGGGGAGGGAAGTCGAGGCACAGAGAAACATAAGGATTTGCCAAGGTCTGCCAGAATGTCTGCAGCAGAACCAGGAAATGAACCTGGGAGTCCTGGCTCCCTGCTCTAACCTGCTAGACCTCACCCCTCTCCTAGAGCCAGGTCAGGAACGCAGGGACTTCTGGACTCTTGACTCAGGCATGCTGTACAGTGGAGAGAGCCCCTTCACCCATACTTGGGGGGTACTTTGCAAAGTATTTAGACATTGGGAAGTGCCAGGTGCTGAAGGCAGATGTTCCTGCTCCATTCAGAGAGCCTTCCAGGCAGAGGGCACATGTAGCCCTGACCTGACATGGGGTCTTTTGGGGTTCCAAGAGCACCTCTTGTAATGCTTTCCTAAGCATTCAGTTTCCCAGCAGTCCAATCTCCACAGGCATGTAGTGTTTCTGTACTTTCGAGGCACCTAACCCCTGCATGGGAATGAGTTTGACCAAGCCCAGAGGGTGGGGGCAGCAGCTCTTGGTTTGCCCTGTACTAGTGGGAGTGTGGTTTTCAGGCCGCTCTAATGGAGACTGGGTGAGAGGGAAGGCTCGTAACTGGGGGTGAAGCTAAAATAAAGCAGCCCTTTACCCCAGCATAAGACCGCTTGTATTGCAACAAGGGGAGGGGGATGACAGTTATACCAGAGCAGCTAGGATAGTGGGTCTTGGGGCTTGCCTATATGGGACAAGTGATGACCAGCTTGTCCCAGTTAGAGCAGTATGGAGGTGCCTGGTGCTGGCATAGCTTATTCCCCTTTGGTGTGGGGAATAAGGGGGTACCCTTCATACCAGTGTGACCTCATCCACACCTGACACGATGCTGCCTTGCATCACAGTGCAGCAAGACTCATCCCACTCTGTGCCTTCCCACGGCACCGTACTATGCCCTGTGGGTAAGAGTGCAGTCCAGAGCCAGGCCCAGGGTGAGGTAGCTTTCAGTCCAAGGCTCCACAGTTGTGTTGGTGGCAAGGCAGGGGAAGTGGGTTGGATGAGCAGTGCTGCCTTGCTCACTGCACCTGCGGCCTGGGTGCTTTCCACAGGGCTTCTTCCGCCGGAGCATCCAGAAGAACATGGTGTACACGTGCCACCGGGACAAGAACTGTATCATCAACAAGGTGACACGCAACCGCTGCCAGTACTGCCGCCTCCAGAAGTGCTTCGAAGTGGGCATGTCCAAGGAGTGTAAGTGCCTAGGCACCAACCTCCCCCCCACCCTTTTCCCCAGGGCAGGGCAGGATGGGTGAAGCTCCATGGGGAAACTCCAGGCTGCTGGCCCCAATCCCACCTCCAACCAAGACCTTTCTCTGCAAGGGAGAGAGTGCTGCTGGTTGTGAGGATGGGGCAGGGAGAGAGGGCTGACTGGAGTAGGCTGTGCTCATTGTGGGGGCATCCAGCTCTAGGTTCTCCCTTCCCCACATTGAGCCTAGTAGGGCTGTAGGTACATTTCTGGGGGCTTGTTGTGCGGTGGTCGGTGCCGTTCGGCAACATTGTAGGGGCTGTTCTCCCAGGATTAGATGTGAAATCCCATCCCCACCTTCCTGCCTCATGTCTGCTGGGGTCAGGGGGAGACATAGGGTCTGGTACCTGCCCTCTGAGGGGTGGGCCGCGGTGGTGGCTCTGTAGGGTCACAGGAAGCATAGGTTGGTGGGGGGAGGGTGTGAGGAGTAGGGGTGCCCGTGAGGAGGTAGGGGGGGTGGCTGTGGGTGCCCAGTCCTGCAGCGGGCAGGGAGCCATCTAGGGTGCAGGTAACATCGCTCCACCTCCACTCCCCCCACACCCAGTCACAGGGATTTTCCAATTTGGGCCGCGCAGCGGGGACCACCCCCTTTGAGCCAGATCCAGGCTGTTGCCTTGGCAACCCGTGATTGATGATGTCAGAGATAAATGACGCTGACAGAGGCCTCCTGGCGTCTGCGTGCCAGTTGTCATGGAGCCCGACTGTAAAAACCTCCCTGCTCACGGCGGCATCACCGGGGGTTAGATTAATAAACTGGGGGGGATCGATCCGGCTGGTGTGAGGAGGAGGGAGGGAGGGGAATGGAGACCAGTTGTGGGGTGGGGGGAGCTGGAAACAGACGGGCAGGTGGCGGGGGAGGGTAAGAAACAGAGGGGGAGAGGGAGGGGTGCCGGGAGGAGAGGGTTAGGGCGCAGCTGTCTCGGCCCAGCCCCCTGCTGCATGCCCCCCGCCAACTGCAGGGAGCCTCCTCCCCTCACGGCACCAAGCAGGAGAATGCAGGAGTCCTGCCCACCGGGCTCCTGCCCCATCTGCTAGGTGGAGGGAGGACAGTGGTGGGAGACGTTAGCAGGGAATGGGCATCACCCCAGAGCTGGGGGCAACAGTGCTGCCAGGACCAGCCGCCCCATGTCAGGGAGCAGCGTGTGCCATGTGGAGGGGGCAGGTGGAGATGGCAGAACCTGCACGAGTGTGCTTGTGCGTGCAAGTGTGCATGCATGTGTGTGTGCGTGTGTGGAGTCTTGCCTGGCTCAGGCAGGCCAGGCAGGGTGCCCCGTGGGGAACCCAGAGCGGGTGGGGGTGGAGGAATGGACTGTCGCTTGGCTCAGGGGCCCCTCTGCCTAGCGAGGAGCCATTGTTGTCCCAGCGCCCCCTTCTCCCCCAGTGCTGGGCTGTCACCATTCCCACCGCCCCATGGGGGAGGCGGAGGGGGCTCCTTCTAGGCCCTGGTGTCAGCCTTCTGGGGCCTCTTGGCCTCCCAGGCTGTGAGAAGAGCCCAGCGCACCCGGTAAAGCGATCCTCTCTTACCCGGCTGCCGGCTTGGGCTGGTTTCATGTAACGGGGCGGGGGCGGGAGGGATTAGCCGAGGCCGCCGTGTGTCTGGGGTTTTCACCATGCCCCGGAGCTCCCGGCAGCTGCCCGTCCGCGTCTCAATAGCATTAGCGCTCGCTGGATGATGAACGCCTTGTCACAGCTGCAATTTTCTCTTCCCGAATTATCCCTGCATTTTTCTCCTCTCCACTTTATTGAATTTGCAGAGCAGACATGAGTGATTTCCGAATTATTCCGGCTCCCCTCGCCCGCTCCCCTCCCCCGCCGCGCCAGGCGCTGACCTGGCGTGAGTGATTATGTGTCTGGCATAATCGCCTGGTAATGACTCCATTCCTTTTTTTAAAGAAAAGTGTTGTGCGGCTTATGGCTCGGGTGGACATTTGTCAGCGTGGCTGAGCGCACAGGCCTGCGGAGGCCAGCGCACGTCAGGTTGCCCAGGCCCTTCCCCCACCCCCAGCCCGTGGGTTTCTCCCTCCAACTGGTCCAGCCTCCACCCTGCCAGGGCAGTCCAGACCTCCGCTGTGGGCTTTGCCTTCCTGTGCAGATGGCTCTGAGCTTATGTTGGAGGCTGGCTTGCCATGGTGGGGGGTGGGGGAAGAGGCCCTCCTGCCCCCTTCAGAGCCGTGGAGCTGGGTGGGGAGAAGGTGGGTGTAGTGCAGAGTGCCCTGCTCCCTGTGGGGGTCCTTCTTGTTGGCCCTCTTGACACGTGCAGGGGGTTTGGTGGGCTTCAGGGCTAAGGCACTGGCCAGAGAGGGCCCTGGCTCTGCTTCATGCTTGCTCTGAGACCTTGGGGCAGGGACCGTGTTGCAGCGGGTGCCCATGCACAAAGAAGTCTTGAGTCTTGGCGTGTTTTAGGCCCATGATAGCATCTGGTGCCAGATAGACCCACTTCCTCTACCGCAGGCTGCCTGGGACTCAGAGGGGAGGGTCTGATGTCTATATACCACACGCCTAGCCTTCTCCATCCTGCCCCTCCTGGCTTGTGTGTGTGGGTGGAGATCCACAACTCCATCTGTAGGGGTAATTTCCCCTGGAGTATGCTCTTTGGTGTAGTGAATCCATAGTGGGCACACAACCGCTTGCCCCAAATAGGTGCCCACAGCAGGTGCTGCTACAATGTCTGACCAGTAGGAGGCAGGGGGAGGAGGGGCTCTGTTTGCACAGCAAAGTTACCCCAACCAGGCGAGCAGACAGGTGGCCAGTACATTGGTGTATTACTTGCCCAGGCTGGAGTTATTCATCCCTTTCTGAAGCATAACTTTACTCTGACGTATAAGGGGGGTGGGTAGATAACAGAACAAGGAGCAACCGTCTCAAGTTGCAGCAAGCAAAGTTTAGGTTTGATATTAGGAAAAACTTTCTCATGGGGAGAGGGTAGTAAAGCACTGGAACAGGTTACCTAGAGAGGCTATAAAATCTTCATCCTTGGAGTTTTTTAAGATAAAGGCTAAACAAAGCCTTGGCTGGGATGATAGAGTTGGGGCAGGTCCTACTTTAGCAGGGGGTTGAACTAGATGCCCTCCTGAGGTTTCTTTTAACCATCATTTTCTATGGTTCTGTGAGATGCATGGCATTTACTGCACTGAGTGCAGAGATCACAGGAGGAAGGAAGCTCACTATAGTAGTTGTGGTGTGTGTGGACAAGGGGGGTACCTGTGTCTGTGCAGCAGTCTGAGCTGTGAGTGTAGTCTGCTTGGGCTTACCCAACCCAGTTCTCCCCAAGCTTCCTTGGGTACTGGGAGCCTGGGGACAAGTGCAGGCCACAGCCTCTGGCCAGGAAGCCAAGCAGTTTGTACAACAAGCTGTTTATTAAAGCTAGTTTAAAGCCAGCTGTGGTGCACCTGTGGGAGCTTCCCCTGGAGCTTCCCAGCATCAGCACTGGGTTTCCCAGACTGCCAAAGCTAGCCTTGGATTTGGAGCGTAGGCAGGCAGTCCACGCCCAATCCCATGTCTCAGCTGCCCTGGCTCTTCCCTCACCCCCAGCACACAGCCTTGGCCTGCCTTGTCTGTCCCCAGCCCTGCTGTGTCATTCCCCACCTCCCACACCCTTGGGAAAATGCTCAAGCATTGTATGGTCAAGAAGTTCAGTGTCACGTTGGGTCAGTGCCACCCCCCTGCCCCCAGCTGGCCAATGTGGCAGACTGGTACCTGGCCTGACGGGCCTAGTCATGGAAGGCTCTTAGGACCCAGCCAGCTGGGCCCACATGGTTATGATGGGGCTGAGCCAGGGTTGGGGCGGGAGGTGGTGGTGTTGGAGACAAAAACCATGGGGAGGTCTCCAAACTGTCCCTTCTCTGTGTCCAGCACTGCTGACCCCACCTGCCTTCTGCTGTCCCCACACAGCTGTCCGGAATGACAGAAACAAGAAGAAGAAGGACACGCCTAAGCCGGAGAGCTCGGAGAGCTACGTGGTCACGCCTGAGGTGGAGAACCTCATCGAGAAGGTGCGCAAGGCTCACCAGGATACCTTCCCCGCCCTGTGCCAGTTGGGCAAATACACTACGGTGAGTGCCTGCACTGGGGCTGGCAGGGCAGGGCCTGTGATACAGGGTGTGGTGGGTGCTGGCAAAGCTGGATGTGGGCAGGAGCTGTGGAGAGGGAAGTGCCTGTGGTTTATGTTGAGGTGCATTCACATGAGCTGTTGAGAAGCGCAGGCCTGGGGTAGGAGGGGGTGCACTAGGCAATACTGTGAGCTTGCAGCCTCCATCTTGGAGCATTACTGTGCCCTCCTTTCACCCTTCCCTGGAGCATCACATGGTCCTGCCCCCTGCCAGGTTCTGACTTCAATTCTGGAAGCAGACTCAGAGCGTGCAGCAGACTGCTGGCCTTCTGGGGGTAGAGAAAAGGAGAATGGGAGCCAGATCTCCTGGCTTCTATCCCCAGCTCTGCCTTCTGATTTGCTGGGGCAAGGTCTTTCCTTAGGTGTGGCGTGGTGCCTGCTGTGCACCATCCCTGGCCCTGGGAATTTGGGACGTGGGTCTTCTGCCTTAGGGGCACCCCATTGCCCAGGCCCTTCCTTCATGCTGGCCTGCACTTGCAGAATAACAGCTCGGATCAGCGGGTCTCACTGGACATCGACTTGTGGGACAAGTTCAGTGAGCTGTCCACCAAGTGCATCATCAAGACAGTGGAGTTCGCCAAGCAGCTCCCCGGCTTCACCACGCTCACCATTGCCGACCAAATCACCCTTCTCAAAGCTGCCTGCCTAGACATCCTGGTGAGGATTGGCGGAGGGGACTTTCCAGGGCATCAGCAGAGCTGGCTGAGCAGTGCTGGGGGCAAGGGATGCAGAGGCAATCATGGTGTCCATGACAGGCTGTGTTGGGCTGGTCTGGACATGTGCGTGAAAGGAGCTGTTCCATGCCTGGACAGTTGGAGATGGTGTCTCCAGGCAGGTGGGCTATAGCAGTGCTGAAGGTAGTGGGAGGAGCAGCATTACAGGGCATAGGTGAGGCAGGAGCACAGGCTGGGCATGGAAGGCCTGAAGGAAGTAGCTTGGGAGGTGCTGCGGAGATGTGCAGGGGCCAGGCCAGGCTGGGCAGTGATGTGGGGTGTGAAAAGGGCAGGCTGGGAGGGTGTGAAGGAAATAGGCTTGGAGGTGTGGGGCAGGGGGCAAGCCAGGCTATGACGGGGTTCTGTGGAGGGGGCAGGTCCCAGCCTCAATGGGGCAGGGGGAGCTGTGCTGGGTTGTATGGGGAGAGGGCAGGCAGGGCTGTGTTGGGGTGGACAGAGGGGGCTGGCAGGGCCATGCTGAGCCTGTGTATCTCCCACCCAAGATCCTGCGGATCTGCACACGCTACACGCCGGAGCAGGACACCATGACCTTCTCGGATGGGCTGACCCTGAACCGCACCCAGATGCACAACGCTGGCTTCGGGCCCCTCACCGACCTGGTCTTCGCCTTTGCCAACCAGCTGCTCCCACTGGAGATGGATGATGCTGAGACGGGGCTGCTCAGTGCCATCTGCCTCATTTGTGGAGGTGGGAGCTGGGGGACAAGGCTTGGCCAGGGCAGGGGCCCTGATGTGTGTGCGCATTGGGGTGGGGGCAGTGGTAGTGCTTGGCAACTTTGTTTGCAGCCCTTGTAAGTATGCTCAGGCTAGTGCACAACAACCAGAGCAGGCCCTGTCCCTGCCACTGTGTTCAGCCGGATCCTTAGTAAGTCAGAGCCCCCACCACCAAGCCATGATTTAAGCAGTAAAGAAAGGGGGGATGTTTATCTCAGCTTCCTGCCCCTGTGCCGAGAAGTGACTGGGGCTTTGCATCCCAGGTCTGTCCCCAGCATCGTTCCCCCAAGGGAACATGGGCCAGGAGTGGAGGCTGAAGAGGAAAGGGGCATCTGTCTCTGGGTCTAGTCTATTCATTTCTGTCCCCCTGGGGACTCTGCAGCCAGGGAGCCAGAGCTTTGGGACTAAGTAACCAGGTCCCTGCCCCTGCTTCTGCCACCTGTCCACAGCCCTGAGCCCTGCCTGACAGCACCCCCTGGTGGGGGACCTGTGCAACAGGCGGCTGCATGGCTGGGGACAGGGGATGGGGATAGCAGGGACAGCTGCCTGAAGACCAGTGTGGGGGTGGGGGCTGCCTTTAGGGACAGAGCAGAGTGTTTTAACCCCTTCTCAGCTGCTGGGGAGGCAGTTATGTGTCGTGCACCCTGTCGGAGGGGCTTAGCTTAGAGGCTGCTGTTGCACTCACCTGATTGCTCCCCACACACCTGGGTGCAGATCGTCAGGACCTGGAGCAGCCGGACAGGGTGGACAAGCTGCAGGAGCCACTGCTGGAGGCACTCAAGGTCTACGTGAGGAAGAGGAGGCCTAGCAAGCCCCACATGTTCCCCAAGATGCTGATGAAGATCACAGACCTGCGCAGCATTAGCGCCAAGGGTGAGGGTCTTGGGGGCAGTGGAAAAGCAGGCCTGGGGCTGTCTTCCCTCCCCCCTCCCACCCTTTCCCTCATCTGACCATCCAGCCCACAAGGAGGCTAGGGGAGTGTCTCTGGGCAAGGCCCCTTCTTTGAATGTGTGTACACTGTATGGCACCCAAAATCCCACTGCCCTGTGCAGATGGTGTGTGTGTAGGGGTCCTGCCTAGGGCTCTGGGGCTTCTTACCCCAGGCTGTGAGTGGGGTATAGACTAGAGTGTCCCATGCACTGTGGGGTCCCCAGCTAGGTGGGGAGACCAGCCCCTGCCCTGCATGGAGGTCATCACACCTCAGTGCCCCCCAGCCTGGTTCTCTGCTCCAGGTGGTGTTGACCCCTCTCCCCACCCATCTCCCTGTAGGTGCGGAGCGGGTGATCACACTGAAGATGGAGATCCCTGGCTCCATGCCGCCCCTCATCCAGGAGATGCTGGAAAACTCGGAGGGCATGGACACACTGGGTGGGCAGCCGGGTGCTTCCCGCATGGGCAGCTTGGCCCCACCCCCCGGCAGCTGCAGCCCCAGCCTGTCACCCAGTTCCAACAGAAGCAGCCCGGCCACCCACTCTCCCTGATGCTGTGGCTGATGCTGGGACCAGGACGCCACCAGTGCTCTCTGCCCCCAGGACAGACGGATGGATGGACAGACACGCAGCCCTCGGAAACTGCCGGGCGAGCAGTGTTCCCCCTCCTGCTGTGCCGTGGGGCCCTGGCCCCAGCTCCTTTCTGTCTGTACCAGCACACACAGTGTCCATGGCTTCAAGCAACCCTGGGCTCCGGGGTTCTGTGCCTGACTTGGGATGAACTCCGCAGCAGAGTCTGAACTGCATGACCCGGGCCGGCCCTCACAGACCAGCTCCTGCCTCTGTGAAGGCGGGGAGGGGAGCAGCAGGGGGCTCTGCTCTCGCTCTCTCCGTGGGGGGGTGGGACACTCGCTCTGGGCAGTGTCCATTGATATAGGACTGAAGTTCACCAGGATGGAGCAGAAACACCTGTAAACTGTTCAGCAGCAACCGTTGCAGCCAGCCAGCACCCCCTCCTCAGGCCAGCGCTCCATTCCCCCCTTCCCCACCGCTCACGCTCACTCGCACGCTCTCCCACCCCTCACAGCACCCCGATCCTCAGTCGGGGAGGGAAACCATGTGCCCCCCGGCCCTGCCTTGGTGGTGATGGTGGTGGGGACACTGCACCGACGTGAAGATGAAGTGTTTTTTTTTTTTTTTTGGTTGCGTTACATTTCAGATGTTTTGGGGACAGGGAGGGGCAGGGAGGGCATTTTGGGGGGGCATTTTCGTTTCTGTTTTTTTTCTTTTTTTAAAATTTTCATAACGATCAAAAAAAAATCCTTTTTGTCCTCGTCAGCTGATTGTGGCCGCTGCCCCTCCCCCCCCACGCCGATGTCACCAGCAGCAAACAACACACAAAAAACATTAAGATAAAAAACTAAAAACCAAACACAATTAGCTTTTCAGGTTTAAAAAAAAAAAAGAAAAAAAAAAAGTAAACCGTCACCCGGAGGAAGAAGATTCATTTAAAAGAAAGCAAATTATATATATATAAATATCTATAAATATCTATAAATACGTTTTAAAGAAAAAAAAACTTTGTAAAAGTTTGGAGGGGGGGTTTTTAAGGGCACGCGTTGCGGTTGGAAGCAAGAGAGGTTGCGGGAGTCGATGTGCAGGGGGCGGGGGGAGGAATGGGGTTCTACACGCTTTATTATTATTAAATTTTTTTTGTTGTTGAGATTTTTTTAGTGGCTTTAAAAAAACACAATGCTGAGAGAGATTGAAAGGGTGAAGGGGGGAAAGGCTGGATGGCAAAAAAAAGAGGTATGTACGCATTTGTAAACACTTGCACGCACACACACACACACACACTGCTTGCCACCCCCCAGGAGCTGGCACACGCCCTCCCCCACCCCACTGAGAGTGTCTTCCAGCAGAGCAGCGACCCAAACCCACCTCCCATCTCAGCATCCAGTTGATGGGGGTCAAATTGCCTCTGGCAGGACCAACCTGGGAGCTCTACTGCTTCCAGATGTGCATGCTAGCCCTCACGGGGTGTCACTGGTACCCACCTCCTTGCAGGCAGAGCATAGCACAGTGCATTGGTCTCTGAGGAGATCTCCCCATTGCGCTAGGTCTGGGGCTGGGTCAGAGCCAACAGAGGCAGGGGCCTGTGGCTGCCCCTTACGGGAGCTACTCTGGGTCCAGTGTTACACTGGGAGAAAGGGAAGGAGCGGCTTGGGGTGAGGCTTGCATTCAACCAAGAGCCTGTGCCCAGCCTGGCAAGGCTACTGCTGCTCCTGCTTTGCTCCAGCAGGGCTGATGCTAGGACAGATGGCAACATGGGGCATGGGCTGGCACGCAGGGACAGTGACTTGACCGCAAGTAGAGACGGCTGCCCTGTGCTGACATGCCTTTGCATTGGGGTGGGGAGGGGGAAGGCCTATTCTCCCCCTGTCCTTTAACCCCGGTGGACAGTGACCTCTGGCAGTGCTCACCAGGAGCTTTGCGGAGCCCTACATTTGGGGCACAGGGATCCCCGCGCAGTGCCCAGGAGCGTCCGCTTTGTGCCGGGTTCAAGCCAGGACCCAGCCTCCTGTCCCAGTTGTCTTTCTCGTGCTGTTCCCTGTTCTAGCCACCAGGAGGCAGCAAAACTGCTCTGCTGCTGGTTGTGTGTCCCCCCCCACCCCGTTGAGGAGGAAGGGGGCTGGGTGCATCCCCCTGAGCAGAACAGCTCCCTTCCCCTCTCCTTCCCACCTCCCCACAGCCTCTATCAATGCATCCCCAGGCAGCTCTGTCTGAATGGCCCAGGCCTTTTGTTAACACAGATTCACGCAGCCTTGCACATGCCCCTCTGCTTGCATAGTTGGGGAAACTGAGTCACACTGAGGACCATGGCAGAGCTGAGGCCAGAACCCAGGAGTCTGGACCTCCCACTCCCTTGCTGTAACCACTAATCCTCGTGCCGTCATGGAGGAAGAACCCAGAACTGGCCCTCAAACCCCTCTGAGCCAACGTGCAGGACCCCTCTCCCCTTCTCCCCCTGCACCCACAGCTGGGCAGCACCCCCCCCACACACACACACACACTGGTGTGGTGTATCAGTAGAGCCTAACCTGGGTCTCAGGCCTGTGTGGCCCAGGAGATCCCAGCTGCGCTGGGCACTGCCCAGTTGCACCAAGGCAGGGCCTGGCCAGGCTCCT